TGTATACATATATGCAGTAAATATTTATCACCGAATACAATATTGTTAAGAGTTAGGGGTATAAAATTTTGCATATAAATGATTTATTTTAATTGTTCTATGTATGCACTACATGAAAATGATGAAATTTTAACAAATTTTTTTTCAAAAGAATTATTCCAACGACAAATCTAATGAATATTTCAGCATTGTTATTTTCGTTGGAATTTTTCAATGGATTCCAACAGAAATTTCAACAAAAATATTATGTTGGAATTGATTTTTCATTGGAATTTCCGTTGGATTTTGACGATTCCAACGGGGGTGGAAATAAAAATTCCAACGAAATTTGTATATTTCAACGGAAATTCCTTCGATAAAAAGCCGTTGAAATCATCAAATTCCATCTAAAATTTCAATGAAAAACACATTCCAACGGAATATTTCCGTTGAAGTTTCCATGGAACCATTCCAACGAAAGCTATACCATTGAAATATCCGTTGGAATTTTCATTGGAATATATTATCATAGGATTTTCCGTTAAAATATAACAATTAGTTTGTAGTGATAGTTATAAGATAAAAATAATATAAATGTAAGTTTAAATTCTATAAAATTACTTATCCAGTTCATCAATTTACCCAATATTTTATCATTCCAATGTTCGTCATCGTAGCCACCACTAAAGTACATAGCGACGAAATTTCATCATCACATCTTTCGTTACCGTAGGCACGTCACAAAATGCATGTATGGGTCATTATTCTGATTTGTAATTGAAAAGTTAGTTCCAGTGACATCGATCTCGTCTTCTTTATAATCGAATTCTCGTCGCGAAAATCCTTAGATTGTCGCTAAAAGTTCATATTTTATTAGACGAATTCAAATGTTGTCACTAACATACAGTGGCGAATTTCAACAAAAACAAAAAAAAAAAAATAATAATAATTAATATTTTTTATTTCCAAAAAAAAAATTGTATCAAGCAGTCGACCCACATCGAAAGTTCTAGCAAGTATTTTTCCACACAAGTACCATTATAACAATATTTGGGACATGAATTAGTTTCCTCCATTAATTCCTCAAAAAATAAAATAATCTAATTCTCTACCTTCCTATAAAAAGGGGGTCGGGCCGGGGTTTCAACTCCCACATATCATTTCATTCATATTCCACTCCCTTCCACCAAAACCCCAAAAACAATTAATTAATTAGTTAATTATGTCGTCCTCATCAAATCAAATACAGCCCAACAACAACAACAACAACACTAGCAGCATGGCCCTATTCGAGCCCATCCTGACGGACAGCGGTTTCGCCCTCCTCCAACGCAACACCGCTGCCCACCTCCCATCCTCCGACCGCCGCGGCCGCAAGAAGCAGGCCGCAGCTGACCCCGGCCGCTTCCTTGGCGTTCGCCGCCGCCCCTGGGGCCGGTACGCCGCCGAGATCCGCGACCCGACCACCAAGGAGCGCCACTGGCTGGGCACCTTCGACACCGCACAGGAGGCCGCCCTCGCGTACGACCGAGCCGCCCTCTCCATAAAGGGGGCCAACGCCCGCACCAACTTCATCTACGCCGACATCCACACAAACCCCACCCTTCCCGCCAACTCCTTCCAACTCCATAATTACGAAAACAACCCTCCTCCTCCTCCTCCTCCTCCTCTTCCTCCTTGTTCACTCAACTCCGGCTATTTGGACTGCGTCGTTCCCAACGAGTATCTCAACCCTTCCAACAATTCGGGCACGGGTCTTGGCGAAGTCCTCGATTTTTCTTCCTCCACCTATAATCAGATGGATATGGCGGGTCTTGCACCGTGGGATAATAATTATAATAATGACAGTACTAACTTTGTTGAAAACATTAGTAATTATAGAAACGAAAGGGAAGACGTCGGATGCTACGGGTCGTGGGATTCGAGCTGCTGCGAGCTCTCGGCAGTGATAAACAACAACAACAACAACAGCCCTTCATCATCATCAGTATCAATGCCTCCTCACATCACAACAAACGACAGTCCAGATTTTCAAATGACGGCGGGCTCATCTTTCTTCCCTTCTTTCGGGGATCCACTTGATTTGGCAGCAGCCCAATATTCGCTATTTTGAATCCTGCTGTTTTTTCACCTTATTAATTCTTATTTTATATATATTATATTATATATATATAAGTACTTGTTTTGATTAATCTGGATAGTACTGTGCAACTCTGCATGCATGCAGCTCTTCTCTCTCTCTCTTTCTATTAATTATATATTATTATAAAAGAGATATGTTTTTTATTAATTTTTCCTTTATTTGTGCAAGTGTGTAACACAACTTTAAGAGGGATTATAGGCTTTTTGGCAGCAACTCGCTATCAATCAATCAATCAAAGAAGCATTTATGTATGTATGTATGTATGTATCAACATTGATTTATTTCTAGTTTCTTTCTAGTAGCTAGAGAAGAGAGTGTTCATGAGTTGAACAAGTACATGTGATACTACATTAGTACTACTTATCATGACACTCATCATCCTAGGATTTCACTTTAGACAGGAATATCTAATACAATCATCCATTCCCACAACGTGTACATACATACATACATACATACATAAACGGTCAATTTCACGTCAACATCTTCATTTCTTCAAGAATTCCTGCCTCTAAACTTTATATTAATTCAAAACGTGTTGAGCCTAGTTAGTAGATTCTTACGCTTCGGATGCTGACATGACGAAAATCTATGCTTCGTGATGTTGTTTTTATATTATTTTTGCTCTGAAGTTAAGTTTGGTTAGACGTGGCCAGGTGCCGGGTCCGGGCCCGGCCCGGCCCGGCCCGCCGGGCCACGGACCCTCAAACAGCCGAACCGCAACCG